AGTCCTGAGTCATTCAGCATGCATATTCCCATCTTGTATGGTGCTAAGATAGATGTTTGGTTACCATGTGAAGTTGAAAACGCTTTCTGTATTTGTGCAGTTAAAGCTGGTTTTGTACTCAAACGTTGTAAATAGACTAGTAACCAAGGTAAGCATAACCTAGAAAACCTAAATTGAAGAATATTTGGGTTTGTTTGCAAATGTTGAAACATATTTCGGTCTGTGTGTACATATATACACATATATATGTATGTCAGGAATGTCTCTTCACTCAGGCCCAAGTATAGTTATTAGCTAAAAAGGAGGAACAGGTATGAAGAGTGTCCTACTAAAAATTTATAGATCCAGTAGCTTTTGTTGGAAGACTTTTTAAATGTACATTCATGCTTACCTTTAAAAGATCCAGTAAATTTAAGAACACGTTGTTGGCTTACTATTCCAGCCGATACTGGTCTGTGAGTGTATCTGGTGTAGTGCTGCCAGCGATTTCATGTCTATCATTTTTATGACAATATTAATGAATTTTGGCATTCTCTGAATACACACAACTTTTAGAAAAGGGAATACAAATAATAAAGTTCATTCTCTTTAAAAGGCAGGGAGGGGAAGCAAGTAGTGTTTACAATAGACCAAACTTACCTGATTTGTCTGAATTGTCGTCAGTGCTCCTTTTCCTGCCAAAGGAGAGGTACATGTCTAAACCAGAATGTCTTCATAGAGATACCATCTTTTTGAAATATTTCTAAATATGAATGTTAATATGTATACTTACTGTCCTCAAAAACTGAATATACTTTTAAATCTTAACTCATTAGGATTTGAAATCTGGCAGTGGTTAGTTTTGTTCCTCTGTAGTTTTATTCTTTATTAGCAGCTTGAATAAACTCACAGCCCTTAAGCAATTTTATTTACAACCCTTACCACGTAGCTGTGTGCATGTACTGTTAGTTAAGGTGCTTTTCTTCTCAGTACTTTTCCAGTGGCTTGCTGATGGGTTTGATCTTTTTTATTTGATTACCCACAAAGCAGTTGTAAGGTCAGGACTGTATTCATGGAGTCCAAAGAAAACAAAACAAAAAAATTGACATTGTCTCTGTACTTCACAGTCCAGAGACTGTGAAGACAGAAACCTTTTTAAATGATGATGAGTCATAGGGACAGCTCCATTTCCAAAAGCATTCTTTTGTACTTCTCCAGGAGGACAAGATAAACCAGGTTATATTTAAGTGACCATTAAAATAATTTAACACTTTTTAAAAATAACAGAAAAAATGTTTTGCAGCCTTCCTTGTAGATACACTTATGTTTGTGTGTTTTATCAGTAAGGCACTACAACATCAGTAAAGAATTTGCTTAGAATAATGTTATAAACCACTACTAATATATTTATTTAAACTTGTTTAACTAAACAGAATATTAATTTGAATTAAATTTATTCCGGTTTATTTGTGGAGAAGACTTTACACTATTTAGCAGACATGATATCAAATGTAATATAAAACTATTGTGGAAAAGTAGTGTTACAAAACACTTTATTAATCTTGGGAGGGAAATGGGAGAATTACATGTGAACAGCATTAGTGTCGAGTCATGACGTTATAATAAGCAAATAAATAAAAATTCACATTATCTCTGTAATAGATAAAATTTGATGTGTTTCCTCCAAGTGAGTTACTGCAGAAAACGTCTCTGTTCCTTTTTTCAGGTTAAATTGTAAATTTCCCAATTTGTCATTTTAGCACACTGCCTCATTTTTACCAGTACCTGGCCTAGGGCCTGCATCTCCTCTAACCTTTGTCTGCTTCGTCAGCTCGGATTTCAAAGTGTGCCATGATTGAGTTTGACATTGATGTCATAGTCTCATAGTGGCATTGTTACCTTAGCATTGGTGCTACAGAAATGCAGAAAAACATAGAAAAGAATGCCTTACCTACTAACGTGAAAAAAATGCATGTGCTGGTGAAGGAAAGGGGATAATTTTAAATCTGAGAGTTACAACCTAAATTACTGTAGCAGAGAAAATGGAGTAATGTGATCCAATATGCTAGCGTTTAACTGCTGCCAATATTCAGACTCTCCAACCCCTAGCTGCCTGGACACCTCAGTCATAGAATTTGGCAGCACAGGAACAGGTGGTAGTATTTCCGCTTAGTGGTTCAGATTGGCTCTTGAAGCAGGAAGACTCATGATATAGGAAAGTATCCTGCATGTACAGTTTGTGATATAGCAAACTGCCGTGCAGAGGGGTGAGAAAAGAGGCTGCTAAGAAGGGAACGGGAGGAAGGGTTGGAAGTTTGGTTTGGGTTTTTTTCCCTGCACCAAGGTGCTGTTCTCAAAGGAGAGGGACTCATTAGTTCTAAATTCATCGGAGCTGACAGGTCTCTCAGAAGCCCACAAAGCTCCCAAGACCACTCCAAGTATCAGCACTGCCCTTTTAGACTCTTAAGCTAAGACTGCTGTCTGCAGATGTTATCTGCCTTTACGTCAGATAATGTAGGACTCCTTCTGTGGAAAAACACCACATTCTGTGTTTGTCTGACTTTGCTGACAAGGCAGATGTTACTTGTAGAGATAGTTAGGCCATATGGCTAATGAAGATGCCCTTGAATGTACTGAAAAGCACAGGCATAATGGAGATGTCTTTCCAAGAGTAGTGATTTATATCACACCGGTTTCAATCCTAAAGGTTTTGCCAGCATTAGCAGGTGGTGCAGTAAGAGCAGATCTGTAGGTGAATTGAGGACCCAGCGTGCATACTTTGTATGTTTCAGGGGATTTGGGGTTTGGACTAGCTCCAGCCTGGTCCTCTGGAGTGAACACCCATTAGCAGTCTTGAGTCTAGCTGCTGGCTTGGTTTGATCGGAAGGGAGCCCCTCTGCCGTGGGGACAGGCTGAGAGCGCTGGGCTTGTTCAGCCTGGAGAAGAGAAGGCTCCGGGGAGACCTTATAGCACCTTCCAGTACCTGAAGGGGCTACAAGGGTGCTGGGGGGGACTTTTTACAAGGGCCTGTAGTGACAGGACAAGGGGTAACGGGGTTAAAGTGAAAGTGGGGAGGTTTAGATTGGATGTTAGGAAGAAGTTCTTCCAGGAGAGGGTGGTGAGGCACTGGGACAGGTTGCCCAGAGAAGCTGCGGATGCCCCATCCCTGGAAGTGTTCAAGGCCAGGCTGGATGAGGCTTGGAGCAACCTGGTCTAGTGGAAGGTGTCCCTGCCCATGGCAGGGGGGGTGGAACTGGGTGATCTTTAAGGGCCCTTCCAACCCAAACCATTCTGTGATTCTATGAATTCGGTTCATGCTCCGAGATCACCCTACAGTGTGAACCAAGGTTCAGCTGGTGGGGCATGTGGGAGCCTGGTCTCAGTCTGATCCAAACTAAAAGGCAAATGCAGACACACACCTTGACTCCACCAGTCCAGCAACATCTAAATTGGAAAATTTGGCCTCAACTCCACCTGCAGAATTATTTCCACAACACAGTGTAAACATAATTAGTGTGTCTGTACTCCAGGGTTCCTCTTCCTAGAGTACCGGCATCTGATTACACAGCGGGTGGCTGCAGTGACTCTGCTTCTACCGTGTGCTCTGAGTCTAGTGCTTGGAGATTATTTCCCCAGAACCCTGTGCAGTTCTTCATTCAAAATCCTTTTTGTTTTGGTTTTTTCCCTCACAAGGAACAACACTTTAAATACAGAAAAGATCTGTGGAGTGCCTGTTTAAAGAATATCTTGAGTTTTTGTAGATGCTGTTTTGTTTCCTTTGAAAAGAGCAGAATGCATTTAAAAGGTATTTTCCGTAAAAGTTTCAAGAACCATTAACATTGACAGTAAAGTATTCTAGGCTCTTAAAAGAGCAAAACAGTGATGTGGCTTTTTTTTTTTAATTGTCTAAAATTCATTGGTTTCCAGGTCTGAACAGAAATACAATTCTGGGTGTAGATCTGTGGATGAAAATTGTGGAGTACCTTTCACTATTCAGAATTGGTTTTATTTCCCGACTATTGCTGCTTCTAAAAAAAACTTTCCATGCCACAGTATGAAAAACGGTATTTTAAATTCCAGTAAGAGGGTTTTGCCTTGTGGCCAATCTCTTGAATTTATTTTTGCTATTGATGTGTCTGTCATTGTGATACAGAAAAGACATTCTCTAAGTTGCATATAATTTTACTACCTGAATTTAGGCCACTGAGCATTAGAGACCCAGGGGCTTACAGGACCCTTTTAGTGTTCTAGTCATTGTTTACTATGAATCTTGTGCATTACACCTTTGTTCCTTCAGCTGTGTAATCATAGTTTTAATGGCACATGGCAATATTCTTGGCCTTGAAGCTTCAGCCACACGAATGAGTCCTGAACTATTTTCTCGTAGGCGTGGTGGTGGTAGCGGTACTAGTAAGAAGCCAAATAATATGACACCATGAGGGAATCTTAAGGCTGTTCCTCACAGGTGTGGTGGTGGTTGCAGCAGTAGTAATAAGAATAATACAGCTCTCCTTGCTGGTTTACAGTGGTGCTAAATCCCTGCAGAAGAGAAATCCTGGGATTTCTTCTGCTCTGATATCTCTGAGGTTTAAAAAATGTGGTATTTAAGATGCTTTTGTAACTCAAGTAACGTACCCAGATTTTATTTTTATAAAAGTGACTTTAGGTACACAGATGGAGAAATTTAACTAATTTCTCTGTGCTTCCATTTCTCCATCTGTAAATTCGAGAACTGGTATTCACTATGACCAGGACATTTAAATAAGCCGATGGATTCAGCTACCAGAGAGGATGACTTATTCAGGATATACTTTACATCATGACAGTGCTTGGGGAAATACTGTGGAATGTATTTGATGACATTTAAAGATAGGACATTTGATCACAGCGCACATGAAACACGGTTTACGTCAGTATCTCAGTAGCTGTTACGTAAACGTGTACTTGAGGGCAGGACAAGATGTGTTTACCTTGTGGTTTATTATTGTAGGGCTTTCTCAATTAAGCTTAATTTCTTACAGGAGGTGCTGAAACAGCTGCAAGGAAGTATTGAAGATGAGGCTATGGCATCTTCTGGACAAATTGACTTACTGGAACGACTTAAAGGTAAATCTAGAATTGTATTTTAAGTAGGTTCACTTGCTTCTCGGTTGTTTTTTCTTGGGGATAAAATTTTCTAACTCAGCTAGGTCTTGTTTCCAGTGCTGACTTGGATGGTTAGGCATGGTCCCAGTGCCTGGTATTTTTGCTAAGCATTTTAAGGCATGTTTTAAAAAAAAAAAATTCCTGTGCTGCTTTTGCTACTGCTGCCCTGGGGCTTCATATTAATTGCTTTTCATACAACTTGTATTTCATTCAGTTCTTCAGAAAAATATACTTTTGTTTAGATTAATGGTGGATTAGTTCCACTAATTTTTTCAGTTTATTTGTGTGCCCTACCCTCTCCATGTCACATTACTGGAATTGTGTCTGTCGTGCTGCAAATCAATGTCCCCTTCCCTAGAATACCTGCTGGAATGTGCACCATCCCATTATATGGGATGTGAAAAGCAAGCCCAGACCACTTAGTCCCTGTGTACACATCCATTATCCCTACCACTGAACCAGAAATGTCATAGATGATGACTGCCTTGAAGGGCATTGTGCTAAACAGAGTTGTCATCATTTGTGTGACAGTGAAGCACCTGCAGGATCTCTGAGAAAGAAGCTGTCGGGAAGTGGGCCACAAGAACAATTCGTATGACATTTATGCAAAAATCTGCCCATTTCTTAAGTCCTCTGGGAAAGAGGCAGGCAGGCTCATGTGGGGTGATACTGTTCTCATTGTCAGGATTGCAGTTTGATTGCAACCTGCTTGTACGACTAGTATTCTCCAAGTGTACCAATGAAACTGGTTTTGTTCACATTATGTTCTTCTGTGGATTCTAATGCAGTGTTTCCATTGTTTGTTCAGGAAATAAGAAATTAAAATAATTTCTGTCTTTTAAATTTGTGCTGCTGAACTTCAGCTCTGAAAGCGTGCTCTTTATTATCCAGAACTGAACTTGGAAAGTACCAACTTCCCTGGAGTGAAGTTAAGGCCAAAGGTGTCCGTGCGTTCATATGGGAGCCGGGAAGGGTCTGTGTCAAGCCGTTCAGGAGAGTGCAGTCCTGTTCCCATGGGATCATTTCCAAGACGAGGATTTATGAATGGAAGCAGAGAAAGCACTGGTTATTTAGAAGAGCTTGAAAAAGAGAGGTAAATTTCTTTGTTCATTCATCTGGTTTGCACTGACTTCTAATTTAAACATGAAAATTTACTGACACACCTAGTATTTAGCTATCATGCTTATGGTTTGGATCACTGGTAAGTGTGTCTTGACTTGGAAACCAAGAATTTACATGGTACTCAGGTGTACACACAGAGAGTATCTTAAAACACATCATAGAGTTTCTACGGCTACTTCATATAAGCATTTCATTGTTACTGTTTGTTGGCTGAAGGTTGTTTTATTTTGATGAGCAGATTGTCAGCATCTGAAATAGATGTAGAGAGAGGAAGTGGAGCATCTCAAACAGCTACATATCTCCTCACCCCTATTGATAAGTGGTAGAACTCTAACAATGTGATGGTGCAGTCTCTTTCTCTGTTTTACAAATGGCTGTAACTACCATAGCTGATTGATCAGTTATTTGCTGTTAGCAGACATTTACCTAGTGATTCTGCTCTCCCAGCAAAAATGTCCACTAAACAAAGGTATTTACTCTGTCTTCAAGATGTTGTTCTCATCTGATGTTTTGTGCTGACAAAATCGTGACATGTCTTTTTTTGGAAGGTAGTGGTATCCATTTAATAGAAAGACCGTACTTTTGGGGCATAATACAGATCTGTAGCACTTTATCAATCACCTGCAGTAGAAATGCAGAGTAAGAGACATGCAGCTGTTTCCACTGAAGGCATCTTTATATCTAAAAATGAACCTGACTGAGGTCCCAGACGTTTTCAGATGTCTGTCTGTAAGACAGTGTTGCTTAAAGATTTGGTCACTGACAGCTACTTAATGGATAGGATGTCGGGCTGGGATGCTGCAAACCAAATAAATAAATAGCAAAACGACATTTTTATGCCTGGCAAAAAAAAAAAAATCCACTTTGTAATTAAAATACAAAAGTTTGGTGGGTAATAAGTGGTTTGCGGACAGCCCTTCAGAAACACCTCCTCTGTAAAGGACCTCTCATGGTGTTCAGTAAAATGCTTGCAGTCAAGAGTACACTTTTCCTCTAAAGTACTTTGTCTAGATCCCCTTTTTTTTTGTTGCTACCAGTAGAATGAAAGTAACTTCCCATGGGTCCATACTGAGCCTCTTCTAGCAGCCACTCTATTTTTTTCATTTTCCTAGTCAGGATCACTGGTCATATTTCTTCCATGTTATAAACCCTAGATTGCTCAGGAGCTGTATAAGATTATTTAGGAACTTGGGAATCTCTTCCCACCTGCTCATCCCAGTCTTCAAGAGCCTAATGTGTCTGCCATTTTCCATCCTGGCAAAACAGTATGCTTGTTTGTTTTCTTCCAGTGCTGTTTTTTACCACATATGATACTAAAATCATTTAAATGTAGGTAGGACTTTCAGTTCTGATTTAAGTGAACTCCAGGTCACGTGAACAAGGCATATTCATTTATAACAGCTGTTCTAGGTAGGTAGCACATCTGATCTATCATCTGTGATCCTTTCCCACTCTTGTGGATTTTAAGTTGATAGGTCTGCAGACATTTTTCTCAGTGATAAAGACAGCTTAGTTGGTGAACTGGTGTTTGTTCCAAATAACACTGAAAGAAAGGGATAAGGATATTTGAATTTCAGATGAGATTAGGGACTGTTACTGTCGCAGCTGATGGGCTGAAGATTTGTGCTGTGGAGAAGATGATGTGTAGAGGCATGGCCAGATCACATCTGGCTTCATTATTGGAGAAACGATGGATAATCGAAACTGCCCTATTCTTTATGCTGTTTCAGAGAGCGTACAGGAACACGTAGAGCATTGGTGTGGACCCTATGTAGCCAGATGAATCAGAACTTGGGGTGGGGGGCTGTAGGACCATGCATCTGAAATCACTACACCGCTTATTTTCCTCAGCTTTGTGTCTGAACTTGTTTGGCATGCTTACTAAGTCCCTGTGTTTCTAAATGTAAGTATAAACAAGTTATTTACTGGCAGAATTTTTGAGGCACTTAAACAGACTTTCAAAGAACTCGTGCAACTTGACCAGCCTCAAAACATTAAAATGATTTAGAAGAAAATAACATTTTTGGAAACCTGCAGCAGGGGGACATTTCCACTCAGCGAAATATATGCTTATTTTATCACCTACCAATTGAAGTGAAAGTATTAATTGTAATGGTAATTTACATAATGCAAGTAGAGTAGCATATAGTTTGTTCGCCTTCTACCTTTTAACTGGGAATAACATTGGCATAATTGTGTAGAGAAGAATTCCAGCAGAAGAAACCAATTTTCTGCATTCATTCAGCTTCATCTATTGTTGGGAGCTTTAAAAATACCACATTACAGAAGTCTTTCGAAATACCCACCCTTCAGAAAAGCGGTTCAAATTGGAAAGTTTTTGTTAACTCATGAAAGTACTCTAAATTTCCAAAAGCTAGCTTCACTTGCCCTGCTGCATTCTTACTGAGCTTGACAGTGTATGACAGAGAACAGAATTTTCTCTGATACTGTTCAAATCCCGACATAAACAATCATAGAGTATAAAAAGGTGGAATAACTGCACTGGGATTTTCCATCAGTATTTTTCCATGATCAGTAACAGCTCTTCTACCTTAAATGCTCTGATAACCTCAAGAAGTTCCAGAAGGCTGAGAGGGAGCTATGCTTCTGGGTGGTATAGTTTCTTACAGCAATGTTAAGTACAGGGAGCAGCTTACCAGACACTTCCAAAGAGACTTGCTTATTTTCAAGGAAATTGGAGTGCAGCCTGCCACAGTTGTACCAACCCTTCAAGCTTTGTGCTGAGAGGCCCTAAAGACATTGATAAAACCTGAATTCTCGCGGAGCAGTGATACTAAACTAGTAATCCCAAATAAAGCATTACTCATAAGCAAAAGTGACACTGGTAAATTAGAGGAATCACCCTCAGGTCATGTGTTTTGTTGTTTGTGGAGCACCAATGGTTCCTAAGTTCTTTTCTTGCTTTACCATCCATTGGGCACGTCAAAAGGGATTGAATGACACCGCATCTCACAAACTGAATACCCTACATTTTCCTCGATCACATGTTCACTTAGCCGAAAGTAATCCTACCAGTTTCTACTACTAGTTTTTTCACATCCAGAGGCAGAATTAGTCCTTTCACTTTTTCAAATTCTCATATGGAAAAAATACTTTTTATAAGGATTTCATTAACTTTGCTTTTGCAAATTTGTTTCCACAAACTGGACAAAACCGGTCCGTGGGCACCCAAGGTGGAAAAAAGGGAAGCTGTGCAGAATGCTTGCATGTGCAGAGGTCAGGCACACAGAATACGTGTTAGAGGAGGGGCAGGAGGGAGGCTGAAAAAACGGCTTTCCTCACAGGCTTCCCCGGAGCACCATCTATTTATTAGCTTCAGTCTGTCTAAAGCACTTAAGGAATTCCTGCCAGCCCCATCCTTGTGGCTGAAGAATTACTGCTTTCCTGTAATCCTGCTATGGTTGCCTGCAACGGCGTGGTGATTGTTGTTTGTTGCATCTTTTCACTGATTTTGACTGTAAACTGTCTGGTGTAAAGCTGCCCAGTGAATGACCTAATGTGTAGTCTTGGCATTTGATTCCCTGTTGAATCAAATCTGGAAATCTGTGCCATTCCATGCCTGTTTAAAAACATTCTTAAGTGTGTAGTTTTTGAGTTTTGAAGTGAGGGATCCTGTGAGTTTAAGTTTTCAATTTGAATACTGGTCAGGTCACTTGCATTGGGTGTGGAGTGTTAAGTGTGAAGTCATCAAAAGTAGTTTGAAACATTTTTAAAGCAGCAAGTCAAACAGATCTAAATGATACATATATTTGATAAATACATAGTGCTAATTTCTTTCTTCTACGTGAAGTTGTCATTAGGGTTCACGTGGAAGTTTGATTATCTTCGTCCTAGATCATTAGTGGGGTGCTTTAACAAACTGGTCAGGGGACATCTAGTTTTGTTGTATGCTGTGGTTTCATAATGGGTTTGTGTGCTTTATAAAGGTTCATGTCTCTTATCAGAAAGACCACAACCTGAGTTAAGGGATGGGAAATAATACTGGAAAAACTTGTATGCAGCTTTCTGTCCTCTGGCTAGGTGTTGATTTTAGCATTTTCATTAATGTTAGTGAGCAATATTAAAATGTCTGAAGAAAGAATAATGCTCACAGAAAGCATTTATGAAAAAAAAAACCAAACCAGGAGTGGCCTTTTTGTATACTTCCACTGGCCAGATTTTGCCTAAAAACTTTGAAACCTATTCTGAAAAGTCTAGTAATAATGAATGCTATATACCCATATTGATAAAATTTACAACTATACAAATGTAGCCCATGAAGGATTGATAGAATACTATGTGAAATTTCAAGTAGATTTTTTTCTTGGTAGTATGTATGTATTAATTTTATTCCCTTGTTCATATACCACTCAGATTTGCAGTATGCTTACAATACCCATTTCAAATGCTTTACACAGCTGCAAGTGTATCCTGCCTATAACATTTGATGGAAAATACTCTGAAGTATTTTAATACTCATAAAAATAGCTTGATTTTGTGTGCTTTGCCTTTTGTTTTGTTATGGGTGACAGAGTTAGTAAGGAGGCACTGCAAAGGCCGATGTGATAACTTAATTCAGTAATGTGATTAAGGGATGTATATGTATATGCCCCTGTAACATCCAGGCCTTTTCTTAAATGTTGTTTGGTACATTGTGCAAAGCATACTGTCTGGAAGAAAAAGGGTACAAGTTAGCACGTGACTAATAACTGGGTTTTGCTTTGACAAAATGCCTCAGCTTTAGTTTTCAAAGTGGTATTGTAGAGAAATGTAGGTGTCTTCCTCTTTTATAGACGTGGACCTGCCTGATGTACAAGAAGTTAGTGATGTGCTTAGCACAGAGGAGTGAACAGGTTGTTTAGCCAAGGCCTGGGAACTGCCCCACCTTCCTAAATGTCTTCCTAGTGCTCTCTTCAATTAGCCTTTTTTTTTTTTTTTATGGGTATCAATGCCTATTTCTGTATCTACATATGGTAATGGTCTTAATAGTGAGACATTTCCTGCTTCTGTTTTTAATAGATCTCTTTTGCTTGCGGAGCTTGAGAAGGAAGAGAAAGAAAAGGACTGGTATTATGCCCAGCTTCAGAACCTGACTAAAAGGATTGATAGTCTCCCCCTTACTGAAAATGTAAGTACCATCAGTGTCCTTGGTCATGTACCTGGTGCTGTGACCTCTGTTTAGATGCTGTCTATATTTTGGTGACATTGTCTACTGTTGTTCTAATCGAAAATGTATTTTATTCACCATGTAAATCTAGCAGCCTAAACAATGCATTTTTTTTGCAGGTAAGTTTACACATTAAAATTCATACCTATCAATATAAATGTCAGTGATAGAGAGGAGAAGCACTGGATAGTCATTATGACAAATGAATTACGTGTCAGTATGCTTCTTCTTTAACTCTATCTCCCAAAGGTCTTTTTTTTGTCTCCGTTCTCTTATTTAGTGGATTCTTTCAGTTTTGCAAGCAATATTAGCCTCTTGACAACTTACGCGGGAGCTTTTAATTCATAACAGAAAGTAAAGTGGTGCTGTAGCCTGCACAGTTATCATGGCTCCAAGCTTTTACCTTGGCATCTCCAAACTTTGCAGCTTTCCAGTATCTGAAGGGGGCCTACAAGGGTGCTGGGAGAGGACTTTTTACAAGAGCCTGTAGTGACAGAACAAGGGGTAATGGGTATAAATTGAAATCAGGGAGGTTTAGATTAGATGTCAGGAAGAAATTCTTCACAGAGAGGGTGGTGAGGCACTGGCACAGGTTGCCCAGAGAAGCTGTGGATGCCCCATCCCTGGAAGTGTTCAAGGCCAGGCTGGATGAGGCTCTGAGCAACCTGGTCTAGTGGAAGGTGTCCCTGCCCATGGCAGGGGGGGTGGAACTAGATGATCTTTAAGGTCCCTTCCAACCCTAACCATTCTAAACTATTTATAGTCAAGTCACCATTATCTGTGATAATGAAGATGTCTGATATCCCAGGTAATACAGGTTTTCCTGTTGTCAGACCTCAGCTGCTTGGGTGTATTTGCAGTGTGTTCCTTCACACACTCAGTGTTGGGAAGACCTGGTTGTGCCCACGTTTACAGTGTCATACCATATCAGGAATCAGTCAGCCTCTTGGAAGTGGAAGTAGACAATGGAAATAGTTTTCTGACTGGGGTGAAACAGCTGGACTTAAGCAAATCTAACCCTGGGTCATGGGTGAGCTTATCAGAACACCAGAAGCAAGGGGAGAAAGTCTGAGAACGATCTTGAGGAAGCGCAGAACATTCCCAAAGGCACTGTCAGCTGTCATTATTACTGTAGGTTTTAAGATTGTCTCCCCAGTTTCATAGGTAATCAGTTAACAGCTCTTCTTATGATTAGAGTGTCTTACTTAACATCTGCATTAAATCTCTTTGTGGTAATTTGTATCCACTACTACTTACCTCAACCACAACAGAATGTCAGATCCTATTCTTTTTGGTAGCATTTTACATATTTGTAGATGATTGTCCCTTTGACTCTCTAAATTGACTTTGGTGCAGTCTTTTGGGAGGACTGCTCTTGGAAACCTTTATTTGCAGACTGAGTAATTGTCCAAAAGCAGTGAAGTGCTTTGCTCATGCCTTGAAAAATCTATTGGTTGGAATGTCTTCCCTTTAAGCTGTGTTGTTGTGTCTCAGCTGGACACTTATGCATTTTTCGCAGGATAGTTAAAAACAGGGTAGATAGCAGTAGTATGAACACCATCACTACGTGCAGTAGTTTGATACCTCTGAACATTTTGAAAATTCTGATTCAGATGGCACACATAACAATTTTGTTGGTGTGCTGACATACATCAGTACCCACGTGTTCCAGGCTGGTGCTGAATAATACTGTCTCAACGTTTATCTGTTATATTTAGTCATTTGACAAAATTTGCAGATAGTCTGTTGATCAAGGAACATTATATGTTCTTGTTTTTAATAACGCAGTCACGTTTTAAGGATCTGTCGTTATCTCTTGTTAGTTTGTGAAGTTTGTTGTGGAAATTGATTGTTCTGCTTTTGTTCAGAGAAATACATAGTTAACACAAATGTTACTTACTAAAATGCCTTCTCTATACTTCCAATTTCAGTTCTCCTTGCAAACAGATATGACCAGAAGGCAGTTGGAGTATGAGGCAAGGCAAATCAGAGCTGCAATGGAAGAACAACTAGGTACTTGTCAAGACATGGAGAAGCGAGCACAGGTACAGTTTGTCTTTCATTATTAGAAGGAATGGAAAAAGTTTTCCTGCATTTTTATTTCATAATTAATAGCTATAGCTTTAAACTGTGTGTAAACACAGTGATACCTTAGAGTGTTTAGTTAGCCTTTCAAATATGAAAATAGAAATCAGAACATAGGAAATAACCACTCAGTAAAAAGGACTCTCCTTCTGCTGTTTAAATAAGACTTGTGAGTGGGCAGAAGTAGACAATTTCATCAAAAGAAAGTATTCTGTAATCATTATTTGCTTATAATTTATTATTGGTTTAGCTTCAGACAAATATGTATTTGCAACTGTGTCATTTTGCATCTGCCATGCTGGGTTTTTCCATGCTTTTAAGTTAAGAATAAAATCCAGATACTGGTGTCAGTTTTCCTTAAACAGAAACCGTGTAGGAAGGAATACACTTTGAAAATGAGGTATTCAAGTAAAATTTAATTCATGTACATATCTGGAAGCTGTTTGCTCTCACAAGGATTTGTTTTTTTTTTTAGGACATGTCCGGTTCTGTGTGCGAATCATGTTACACACATTTGAAAGTATAACACAGAATCTAATTGTGTGGAACCTGTAAACGTAATAATCAGTTGCGTGCTGCTTATAAAAACTCTTACCCACAGTAGTAGAGTGACAAGTTGAATTATTTATTACCATTTATTTCCAGAGATGTTAAATAGCCAGTTCGGTAAGATAATCGGGGTTTTTTCTCGTGAACATTACAAAAAATAATTCCTTTCAACAAAACAGCCTTTTTGGGCTCTATTTTTCTGGCCAGTTTTACTCAACACAAAATTTTGCTACATAAGAAGCATTTCTGATTAATTTTGTTTGTAATTAGGAAAGCTGCTTTAAATTTTCAAGTGAGTGATTTATTAGGACTGTACAGAAAAGTCATAGTTATAAGTATTCAGCAAAACATACCCTGCAATTGTCAGCTGCGTAGATAAGGGCTGTGTAGGCATTTGTCTATACAGACGTACTCAGACAGACCCAAGCTTAATCTGCTTGGATAATAACTGGTTCTGATCTGGAAGCCATATGGCTGTGTTAGAATCCTAGAATCACAGGATG